TGTTCCTCTCTGTATAGATGCATCAACTGCTCTAGGCATGGTTGTCTTTTGATGAATTAATGCCTTAGTACTAGAATGTCTATTGCTGATTTTGTTTTAGCATTGCACTCAACTTTCAATTATGGAATTAAGACATCATACTTTGTGTCGGAAGTTATGTAAAGCACAAATAGAATTAGCACTCTATAGCTTTCCATCTATATAAACTACACATCTCCGTATCTTATCTCTTATTTTTCTTACAATTTAGTGGGCATATAATCACATAGTGTTCTTAATACAATCACTAATAATATCTCACTTTGTTTAGTTTTAGTTTTTTGAAAACACTTTTCGGAGAATTTTATTTTTTTATTTTTCGTATTTTTTTTAATTTTTACTGAATTTTTTTAATATTTTAAGATTTTTTTTTAATTTTTAGACACACCTAACATAAAATACACTTAAAAAGTATAATTTTTGTGAAAAAAAATCTTTAAAAAATTCACTAAATACCAAAAATATAAAAAAAAATGAAAATTTAGAATATTTTTCGTATTTTTGCGTATTTATTAATTTTTTAAAATATTTTTTCACAAATATTTTACTTTTTAGATACATTTAAAAAAATGCTTAATATTTAAAAAATATTTATTAAAAATAAAAAACATAAAAAATAAAAAACTCAATTTTCAAAAAACTTAATTTAGAAAACTAAAATCAAACACACATATTAATTTTTCTCTGAAAAATATGTCATTAGCATGATATTTTATTGTTGATATCATTATAAATTATTATATCAATCTCTTTATCTTTTTACATATTTTTTTATAAATAATTAAAATAGTCAATTTTGGCACAGAGCCTCAGTTTCCACTTAAATGCTTTCGCTTTTTGCTTTCACCTTTCAATGGCATATTGGAGGAAAAATATGCATTATCATGATTTGTATGCAAAAGTCAAGTAGAAATTATTGGAAATTTTTTCACCACACAATGATTATAATTTGATATTTTATTATTATTATTATTATTATTTTTGTTTTCTCATGATTTGGTATTTATTAGAAAACAAAAGCACCACAAAACGAATCCACATTGTTTTCATAAAAGTGGACCATATGCCCAAAAATTCATTTGTTTGGCAGCAATGTAATGCAAGAGTCAAAGTCGGTGGCCAAGCAGACTCGGCCATGAATGTCTTAATTAATTGGGTACATAGATGGAAAGCTATTTTATTCTTGATTATTGATTAGATAAATGGTAGGGAAGAGTTGAGAGGGAACTGCATATAAACTACACATCATTAGCTATCCCAGGGTTAAAGCAGAAATAATCTTCTTCACAGAAAAGCTTCCATTCCAAATTATGGTATAACTTGACATAATCCAACATTTGTTTAATAATGTGTCTAACTCGAAGACAATTTGGTAAAAAAATCACTTCCATCGACCAAATGGAGTTTGTCAAAAGTAAAGCTACTAGAGTTCTATTAAGAGCACAAAGCAATTGTCAATTGGTTTTACACCAAATTTCAATACATGCCACAGTCAACAACTATCCAACAGTAGCATGTGCTTCCTTCTAGGGCCTAATCAACAAAACCTCTCAGCACCACGAAATCAATTATTAGCTGGCACAAACAGGAGAGAGAGAGAGAGAGAGAGAGAGAGAGAGAGAGAGAGAGAGAGATCAATAAATGGTAAATCAAGTGCATACCTCAGAAGCCAAGTAACCAAGGGTTCCAGTTTCACCAGTCATGATTTATTTTCATTTTATATTGTTAGGTATGAGTTTTCCAGAATTCTCTCTAACGCACTGTTAATAGGTTATTTCTGTTCTCCTCCCTTTTTGATCTCATTGATGATTGAGATTTTATCCTTTTAATTGCCTAATGACTTGGTGATTAGGGTTTATTGATTTCGATTGTATTGTGGTTTCAAAACTTATTTGTGTGTTAATTTGTGGTTGAGAAAACAATATTGATTTCTAATAGCGATTAGGTTCTACAGTTTTTTTTCACATATATGGGATGTTGTTTATTTTTATTTATTATTTTTTTATTTGGGTAACAAGAAGAATTATGTTACAATTGGAGAATTATTGATTGTATTGATACTAATGTTATTTAGACTCTTCCCATTATTATTTTTATGTCCTAGAATGCTTAACAAAGCCAAGATAGTTAGGTTCGTATGAATGCATTTAATAGAGGGACATCATTGAAACTTCTTAATATATTGAACGTTGAAAATTCTTAATATATTGAAAGTCAAGTTACTTATGTATTTATGGGATATTTATGTGTTTGTTTGATTTGGAAAACAAGAAGAATTATATTAAAATTGGAAAATTATTGGTGAAATTGATATTGATGATATTTACACTTACTAACAAAGTATGTACACCCATCTTCCATTGTTGTTTGGGATGTCCCAAAATAGTTAACCATCTTGAAGAGCCAAGAAACTAATACTCTTATCATCATTTTGTTAAGTTTGAATGCATTTAATAGATGGACAACTTTGAAAATTCTTATGGGTGGAAAATTGAATTTAGGAAGGTGAGTAATCATTTAGTTTGTTGATCTGACATCACAGTAATTTATAATCTGCAAGATATCTGAGAAATTATTGAGAGGAGTTAGAATTCCATAGAGAAACTGATGGATTCACAAAAATTGTGATTTATATCGCTTGGGAGAACAGGAAAGTAGGTACTTGTAATTTGTACATGTTTGAAATGATTTGGCAATTCTAGACATAAGAGAGAATTTTTTATGATGGAGATTAATTTAGCTGATTAAATCTCTTATCGTTGATTGGAAAATTAGTACATTATTGAATTAAAATTGTCGTATTCTAAGCTAACATAAAAAATTCATGTATTTGTGTGCAATGAAAAACAAATAGTTGATGAATAACATAGAATGGATGAACATTCAAATCTGATGCATTGCATTTAAAAAATTGTCCCATGTTCCTGTCACAGAAATCGAATTTTGATGGATAAAGAAAATTCATGTATTATGTAAAGCGTGAATTTGTGGTTGAAAAAACAATATTGTTCATTATTGATTTCTAATAGCGGTTAGGTTCTACAATTTTTTTTTCACATATATGAGATATAGTTTTTTTATTTATTTATGATTTTTTTATTTGGGTAACAAGAAGAATTATGTTAAAGTTGGGGAATTATTGATTGTATTGATATTGATGTTATTTAGACTCTTCCCATTGTTATTTTGATGTCCTAAAATGCTTAACAAAGCCAAGATAGTTAGGTTTGTGTGAATGCATTTAATAGAGGGACAACGTTGAAACTTCTTAATATATTGAACTTTGAAACTTCTTAATATATTCAAAGGCAAGTTGCTTATGTGTTTATGGGATATTTATGTGTTTCTTTGATTTGGAAAACAAGAAGAATTAAGTGAATTGAATAGTATAGCATATTGCTCCGTGCACCAATTCATTTTTACACTGCCATAGCCCCATGAATAGAGCTTCAAGCCCATGACCCTTGCTTTGAAAGGCTGGGCCTCTGCCAACTGTTATTATACCCAGTGTGTTACTGTTACCCTTCAATTACTATGCATTTGTCTACACCATTAACATTTATTGTATACAGTTTTTATTTATTTATTATTATTATTATTATTATTATTTTTTTATGGTTAATTGATGGAATGCTTTCAATATATTTCAAGGAGGAATTTAAGGATAAGGAGATGGTTGATGTGAAGTCATTACACATCTGAAACTTTCTCTGAAGTTGAGTTTGTTGATTATAACTGTTAGGACACTCATATCCAGCAATTGTTTGAAGAAAAAAGATTATAACTGTTCAGGTATTTGTTAAAGTAAAGGGAAATATTGGATTAATGTTTTGATCATTTGTTTGTTTTTGGTCTAACTTATCTTTAGCTCCTTGAATATTATTTGGTTGGCGATCTCCAATCACAGTGAGATTTGAAATTGTAGTTGAAGTGCTGCCTCTTTTGTTTTCAATGGCCAACTTTTGTTTTAAGCTTCTGCTATATTACATAAGGATTTTGAAGCTGTCTTCTTTAATTGAAATTCATTGATTACCTAGGGATCTGTCTTAAAAAGAGATGTAATTCTAGATTTAATAGTAAACCACTTGATTATCTTTTTGTCTATTGTTATTGGTCGGTTTCCAGACAAAAGAAATTTAAAAACTATGCCAATATACTGTAAGAATGTGATGGATCGCAGCCCTCTAAATCTCCATTCTCAAATTTTCACAAAATCTTAAAAAAGGGTAAATTATAAACATGCCCCTGATGTTTGTAAAATATTCTCACTCTCTCTATGGGAGCTTGCATTTTAAGATTAGTATCCAAAGTTTAGTAATGAGGTGCGGTGTTGCCTTTGAATCAAACTTGGTTATAGATCATGACACAATGCAATTATACAATTGGATTTGTTATTTTTATAACTGCATTTTAATCTTAATATTATTTACACTGTGCCTTTAGGCACGTACATACGCTAGTATATTTATATAGAGAAGGGGCCATTACTATGTAATGAGCACATCTGTGATTGTTGTACGTCTCATTGGGGCCCGTTTTAGGTCATATTTTGATAATTTGAATCGTTTATTTTTTTAAAAATATCGAATAGAACATATTTGTAAAAAATCAAATTAGTCATTTATATTAGTTTTCATTTGATTAAAATAATATCTAAATTTGACCAAACTTACTAGTTTTGTGATCCAAGTTATTATTTAATTTTTTCCACTAGCAATTATATGGAGCTAAATTTTATTGTCAAATGCGAAAGAATTTGTAAATTTAAAATTATAAATCTAAAAATTACTTTTATAAGTTTAAAAATTTTAATACAAAAAATAATATGTAAAGTGAATAGTAAAGAGATTGATTCGGTACAACTACAAAAATTGAAAGGCCGCAATTCAAGATAAATTGTTATAGGCGAAATCTGATTAATTCTTTATCACCTCCTCTGTCAAATTAATTAATTGTAACAATATTTGAATGAAGCACGACATACGCCTCTTTTATGTTGTTTTACTTGAATTTTAGAAAGACAAGATCCTGTTGATATGTGAACCCTAGAATGTCCACGTGCTAACTCAATATCTCACTGCGAAGAACAGAGAGAGAAACGCACGAGGAGAGACACTGGGTCGTCGCCGTTGCAGTTGCCGAAGTCGACGTTGAGGAACCACATCTCCCTAATCTTCTTCTTCTTCTTCGCTTTCGTCGCAGCAAATGGTAAGCGGCTTTCGGGGCCTCCGTGCGTGTTGCTTCCGCTTCTCTCACACGGCGGCGATTCCTCTCCCCATACACTCCTCCGCGCTCTCTTTCCGCCGCCGACTGTTCGTCACCAACTGCTCAGCCTCCGTCGCCGGAAAAAAGGAGAAGGTAATCGTGATTTCCGGCCCCACCGGTGCCGGCAAAAGCAGGCTCGCTTTGGAGCTCGCGAAACGCCTCAACGGAGAGATCATCAGTGCTGACTCTGTCCAGGTTTTAGAGATTTTCGCGCCGATAGCTCTTGTTTGGTTACGTAGAAATTTGAGGAAAAAGTAAACACTGAGCTAATTACAATACAACTGCTAGCTAAGTTGATTGAATTTGGTTTGTGTTACAGGTATATCGAGGACTTGATGTTGGATCTGCAAAGCCTTCATTGAGTGAAAGAAAGGTATTCATATATTACTGCATTTTAAGATTCTACTTGTTTAAAGCATGTTTATAGCTCACACGTCTTGTATCATGTATTATGGCCAAGTTTGACAACCCAAAAATAATTCATCTTTTTATTTTTATTTTATTTTATTTTTTTATCACATCACCTCTCTACTTTTTTGCATACCTTTTCGTAAAAATAAAAAAGTGCACTTATTTTTTGCATACCTTTTCGTAAAAATAAAAAAGTGCACTTATTTAGGGCATCCATCTTTTCTCTATCATGTGTCATATATCATGGTCATTTGGTTGTTATTGCTTAATTCTAATTTTTTGTAAGTGATTATTTCTTTCTCATACCTTGTATATGTGTGCTTATGCTTTGAATTTAACCCTTTTTTTTGGCGTGATTGTCTGTCCATCGGTCACTATCGTGGCAACACCCCAATCAATGGGTTTACAAGTTTCTGTCCAATTAGAAGATCTATCAGAAAAAGGTAGCTTAGTCTACGAGGATTAGGAAACACCATGATACACTAGTGCATAAAACAAATCATAGTTCTACTGGGCTAATGACAGGTGAATTGGTAGAGATAAACAAAAAGAGAAAAAGATAATGGACTTAATTTGCATTTTTGTGTTGTTTTCCTTTCTTTTTTGCGCCTTTTTGTGTCAGTTTCTGTTCGTTTGATGACAATGTTGTCTGGCTAAAGAGCCTTTTGTTTTTTTCTCTGTGTCTGTTGTTAGTTTTGTGGTGCCTGAGGGATGCCTCTTGTAAACCTGTATATGTTATTGTTTTTAATTTATAACTTATTTACCTAAAAGAAAGAGAACCCACAGTTTTGGCTCTATGTTTTGTGATTTATTAATTTCCTTCAATGGTTTCATCTTGTTTTGCAGGTCTATGAGGATGAAACAGTTTCTATTAACCCTTAGATTTATTTTATATTTTTATATTTTTGGCCTTTTTGATTCAGGGATCCACAATTGCTGATCTTTCAGTCTCTATTACACGGGTTGAGAATTACCAGCTGCCTCCTGAGGCTCCTCCCCTAACCCCTGTAAGTACCACGGCTGTTAAAAATAATACTTTGGTATCTGTTTTTATAATACTATTCTATCTATTCATTCTAAAAATTTTTATTTCAGAAACTTCTCGTGTTTCTCGTGGTAAAGCATTTACAATTATAGAAGATGAAACTTTATGTAGATCTTGGTTAGCAGTCTCTCAAGATCCCATTACTAGTAATAGTCAGACTATGGCTATATTTTGGGAACGAGTACTTGTTTTTTTAATTCACAATTGAGTGGTGAATCAAATCGAAACCGTATTTCTTTGTCTCACCGTTGGTCTGGCATGCAAAAGGCAATTAATAAATTCTGTGGTTTTTTTGAACAAATTCAACTGAGGCAACAAAGTGGAACAACTGAGGCAGACATTGTAACATTTATTTGTGTTATTAAATATCAAATTTCTTCTCTAAATGTATATTTGTTATTAAAGTTGTTGTAATTTTTTTTGTAGGTCGCTGAAGCAAAGCGGATGTATCATGCAATACAGAAAAAACACTTCACATGTGATACATGTTGGGATATTTTGCGCCGATGTTGTAAGTGGGATGAATTTCGAACACAATCCAAAAGGAGTACGCAACATGCTTATCCATGTTCGAATCCACCAACTGGAGAATCTGATGCATTTCAATCCAACCAGAATAATGTGGTGCGCGAATAACCATCTAATACATCAACACGACCAATTGATACTAAAGCAGCGAAAGAGAAGTTGAAAAATCAAACAACCCACGATAGTAGATTTGATAAAATGGCTGCCAACCAACCCAAAATTGTTGAAGTGTTATCAACTATCTCCGCTAGAACTATTGAGCGAGATGAACAAAAGGCGATCGACCGTGAGCAGAAAGCTACAGACCGTCGAAAAAGGGCCGAAGATAGGGAGGAACAACTAAAACTCCTATCTAAAATGAATGAAAGAGAACAACGAAATGAAGATCATAAAATAATGTCAATGGACATGACAATTTTAAATCCTATGCAAAGGGCGTACTACGAAGATCTTCAACGACAGATTTTATTTCGAACAACTAATAGATTGCCTTGAAATGTTCTGTATTACTGGTTTCATCTATTGGTGTCATCTATTGGAAAAGGAAACGGAAAAACTGTGTAAAATTATGTGAAATGTCTCACTTGCCTTTTCCATTTTTGTAAAATTAGAAATTAATTAATTTGCTCTAAGTTTTTGTTTCTTGAGATGGTTGAGTTCTATTCTCTGCTGCTACTTTGGATACCATATTGATTGGTAAAAACAAAAAAGCCTAATTGATAAGTAGTAATCATGAATGAAATTCTTCTTGATGGATATGTCAGATAAGGGGCTTATATTTTTACTTTTCTTCTACAATTCCCTACAACTATCTCAATGGGTTTTGTTCTTCTGTTAAGCAATCAAGTCCAAGGGCTATATCTTCGTATTGTTATAGATGATTACATTCTCACATACAAGGCTGCAAATCTCATGTCTCATTCTATCCTTGCATTGCAACCAAATGTAGGGATGTCAAATTGTTATTTGTTTGATTTTTACATGTTTTCTTATGCTACTGTTCTTGATGCTACTGTGATGCATATCTTCTTGATGCTAGGGCAACACTAATTTTTACATTCTCACTTCAATTAGGTGATGCATATCTTCTTGATGCTACTGTTCTCATCAACCTGAGTTTTAACTTTTATATATGCCTTTCTCGATTCTGTTTCATAGACAGTGTTGTAATGTCACTTAAAAAGAAAGAAAAATATAAAAGTAGGTTTTACAATTTCACCCTTCATTCAATCTGCTTCTTATCTTGATCTCAATGAATCTCCTCTATCTGCTTTCTCAAATAAGAATATGCTGTACATGTAGATACAGTGTTACAGATAAATACTTACATATAAATACATCTTTTATTCTTTTCTTTGGTTACCATGACACCTTTGAAAAAATTTCATAAAAATTGAAGTAATCAGAAACATTAATAAAATATTAAAGATTATAGCATGAGTGAAGCTCAAAAAGATGGTGCTAAAGTATTACCAAGGCAAGAGAATTTTATATCACGTAATATGACAAAATCACTACACTCATAAAAGAAATTTACCCAACAAAAGGTTGTGAAAATAATAAAAGACAAAACAATGCAAATACATAATGGCACACAGATCAACAGTCATTATCTGGTGATGGTGGAGGAGGGAAGTAGTGATGGTATATGTCATTTACGCGTTGCTCAATTCTATCTATGCGATTGTTTGCCACGTCATGACGTCTTCCAATGTCTAAACGGAACTCACCAAATTGTTCAATTAATGAGTTCTGCACAGTGGCAAAAGTCTCAAACTGAGTACCCAACGAATTGACCTGGTTAGCCATTTGATGTTCCCATTGAACGCGTTGATGTTCCTATTCAACGCGTTAATTATAACGTTGTTCTTCCATGGCCAAAAACTTAGTCTAAAATATATCTGTGGTGAATCTAGTTTTCACCACGAAGATGCCACATATGTTCTATTAAATCATTACGGAGGGCATGATATGCATTCTTATCTCTAATACCTAAATGATGAGACAAAAATGATTAAAAGTCATTGGTAGGAGTAGAGGAAAGTTGCACTGGTGTGTTGGTTGATGAAATTTCATAATCAAAATCAAGGTGCTCCTCCCTTTCATCTTTGACAATCTTATTGTGTAATATAATGCAACTCTGCATTATGTTGGCAAGCATTTTCGGATCCCAAAACGTACAGCACCACCTATAATTGCGAAGCGAGATTGAAGGACTCCGAATGCCCACTCTACATCTTTCCTGGCAGACTCTTGGATCAATGCAAAATGTTGTCTCTTTGCTCCTTGGGGAAAAGAAATTGTTTGAACCAGTGTTGCCCATTGCGGGTATATACCATCAGCAAGGTAATAACCCATATCGTAACTATGTCCATTAATAGTGTAATGGACATGGGGAGCCTTACCTTGCGCAAGATCAGAAAACAAAGGTGACCGGTCCAATACATTCAAGTCATTGTGTGAGCCCCGCATTCCAAAAAATGCATACCAAAGCCATAAGTCATAAGAAGCTACTGCTTCAAGAATAATGGTTGGCTTTTTTTGATGGCCTACGTATTGACCTTGCCATGCTTTTGGACAATTTTTTCACTTCCAATGCATGCAATCTAAACTTCCCAACATACCCGAAAACCCCCGAATCTCCCCAATAGCATGTAATCTAGCAATGTCAGTTGGTGTCGGAGATCTCAGATATTCTACTCCAAAGATTTCAATCACTGAATTACAAAATTGTTGCAAACTTTGAATTGCAGTGCTTTCCCCAATACGTATGTAACTGCATCTGCTACGACACCATATGATAATATTCTCATCGCTGAAGTCATTTTTTGTAGGGGAGATAATCCAACTACATGAGCTGCATCTTGTTTTTGAATAAAATATGAATTGTGTGCTTGGATTGCATTCAAAATTCGCAGATACAAAGGACGACTCATTCAAAAACGTCTCCGAAATATTGTAGCTGAATACACTGGATTTACAACAAAATAATCTGCAAGCAAACTGTCATCACTTTGCCTTCTATCTCTGCGTGTATACTTGTGGTCTACAACACAACCACCTATTTTCTTTGAGCTATCACTTGACGTAAGAATCTGAAGCATACTACTGTTATTCTGCTCATAAGCCCCTAAAAATGTGACCATATATTCATCATCAGAGGAGGAGGAAGAAGAAGAGGATGAAAATAAAGTCAATATCATGGATTTGAAAGTATCCATTATGCTCTGTTTTGTTTAAGCTATGATCCTTGTGGAGTTGTCTAGTATATGAATAATAATGTGTTTATATGAGATTTTATTTGGAAAATCGTTGTTACGGGTAAACCAAAACCCCATATATGTAATGGAGGGAAAAAGAAATAGGAAAAGAATTGGGAACAGAAATGGAGGGAAATAAAAAAAAAAAAAAATCTCTTACCGGTCGACCGGCCGGTCAACCAACCGGTCGCCCCTCCACCAGTTCACATCGGTCAGTTCACCTTGGTTGGTTCAAACAGTTCAAAAATGTTATAAAAAAAAAAAAATTCCTCCTAACCGGTCGACCATCCGGTTGTCCTGAAGGAGATTTGATGAAGGTGAACCGTTGGAGCATTCAGTATCAAATTGGCCATTTTTTAACTCAAATTTGATGAAACATTAAGCGAACCGTTGGAGATACTCTTAATACAGCAAGCCTGAATGCAGCTGCACTTGGGGATCGTGAATTTCCTCTAAGGCGAAACATAGCGCCAAACCCCTTGAGGGATTGTGGGCCAGGTATTTATGTAATGCTAGAGATCTATCCTACTTATTTTTAAAGATAAATAGTAATATTAAACTAATAATGAGGTGAGATTCATAAACTCTAAACCTTAAAGGGTTGGATAATATATAATTTAATCAAATAAATTCATGATATTAAAAATAACTAGGGGCTGCAATATGCCTTATCCGCTTATCTCTCTAATCCTAGGACTCAAAATAAACATGTTAACGCTTCATCATCCCTAATATATTTTAACACGTCACATCATTAATATTTTTGGAGTAATTTTTTTTAATAGGGACCATGTACATTTTTGTTAGTACAAAAAAATACCGAAGTATAACTAATTTATGCATCTAGTTAATTTAAAAACGTAAAATCGCACTATCAAATTTTATCAAATTTTTTACCTACAATTTTATCAATTTTTTTTATTAGAAACAATCTTCA